GATCAATTTTCTGATTATTATTATTATTATTATATTCTGGATTATGCTTACTTTTTGTGACGTTACTTTTCTGTTAAAAATTGATTTTCTTTATTCATTCTTGAAGATAACTTTTTTTAAAGAGTAATTTTGGTGTTTGATGTTATTGTTTTATGAAAAATTCCAGTTAAGATATATGTTGGATGTAAAATACTGCAAATATATAAAACTTAAGATAATCAGAAACAAGTTAAAAGAAAATATAATCATAACAAATATTTAGAAGCTAGAAATGTTATTTTATTACTGTAAATAACAAAAATTATCTCATTTTATTTGTATATTGAAAAAGATAAACAATAAAACTAAACTATGAATTTATACTGTACATGATATTTTACTTAAAATTTTTCTTTTCAAATAAAAATTAAAATATGTTCAAACAAATAATTAACTGATTTTCAATTTTTAGAATTTATATGAAATGAAATCGTTGTTAATTCTTACTAAAGTTATTTCTGAAATCATTAGTCTGAAATGAATGCAATAAATTTAAATTTTTTGATTTTTTAATCTTCAATTATAATTCATAACTACAATATATTTAAAAACTTAGTTTTATTAAAACTTTAACTTGGTTACATATTGAAATAATAAAAACAAAGTGTAATAAAATATAACTTTATATATTATTAAAAAAGAATAAAAATTTATAACATTGAAATCTGTTTATTTTAACTTAATTTGCTTTGATAATGGCTGATCAGCTTTATCATCTTTTGAAACATTTGCCTTCTTCAACCAATTAGCTAAGAATTTGTTTTTTGTTGGAATGTTTTTTCTATTATAATAAGATTAGAAAAATTATATATTAATGAGTTTATATACAACAACTACATTTATAAATACACAATTATGCTTACTCTGCTTTAATTGGTAGCACACATTCTATGCTTTTATTCTGTGAATTGTTAACTATATTTGAAACAGGATACCATTCTAAAGTTTCTGCAGGACGAAGCAACTTAACTGCCTACAAATTATTTTAAAAGTTATGAAAAAAGACTATATTTTCAAATATTATTAAAAGATAAAATTTAATTCTCTTGAGCATACTTCTTTTGTAGTAATGGTGCCATAATCTAACCACTTCTGAATATTATCTCCATTTAGAATTGCCTGTAAAAACTTAAGTAACTATTAAACATATCATCACATCACAATATTAAATAATTATGATTATATAGTAATAAAAAGTCAACTTATCTTTCAACAAAGTTTATAAGTTTATTAAATATATTGCTGAAAGATAAGTTGATTATTATTATTTTTTATTCTTTCAATCAGTTTCATGCTTGGAAGGCCGAGGAGGTAAAGGTCTACTACTCTAGACACCTGAAATTGAATCTGGGCAGGGAAAACCTCCCAGATATTTTTTGGGATAGTATGTCCCAGATATGTTGAGCCTTGTCCTTCACCACCTGACCATCACATTGTGGACCTAGCTGAATCCATAATGGACTTGGAAAAAAGGTCCTCAGAGTCATGAGTAAAAAAAAAGTTTACAATCAGTAAGATAGAATTATGTGCAATACAACAAATAAAATTTCTCTAATTTTTATATATACAGTTTATATCAGTAATGATATTTTAAGAAATGCTACCAAATAATTCCAACTTTTCTGCAAAATAGATTAATTAATACTAATTGAATTTTTGATTTATTCATGACATTAAAAATTCTACCAGACATAAGAATGAAAATGATTAATGAAACATATACTAAGTAGTAATGACAATATTAATTAATTACTTTCATCTATACTGCTGAGTACAGATATCATTTATCATCTTTATGAAGCAGATGAATGAATCAAAAAAATTAAAAAGGTACTAGTAATAAAGTATACNGGTACTAGTAATAAAGTATACACATTTTATTATAGAAATAGTTTTTATAAATAAAATTCTTTTTAAATAAAATATTTATGAAGTGCAATATATAATAGGCTTTAAAATTTATTAAGAAGTATATAATAAAATTCCTAAATAGCAAAACAACTTTTTAAAATTTCTTTTTAATTGTATTTCCATAAACATCATTTCTGATAGAAACTAGTAAAAACAGTTAAAATCATCATTGTAATACAAAACAACATTCATACTCATTTTATTTATTTTTAGTTTATTAATTAAAATTGTCAAAAAATAATTAAATACAGTTATTTTAACAATATTTAATTATTTTATTTTTTGTTATTTTATCTTTATGTTTGAAATAAGAAAAGTTTTGTAAAATGAATATGAATATTATTTCTCATATAATTTTGTTAAAATGTATTAAGATTTTGATAAATTTTGATGAAATATACATATAATGTAAACTTTCAAATAATTACCTATATGTACACACTACTATCAATATTTGAAAGTTTAGTAAACACATTTTATGAGTTGCATTTCGAGAGAGAGAGAGAATGTCAAAATAACTAGATAAAATATTATTTTACATTAATAAAGTTCTAATATTCTTACTGGCATTCTAGAATGTAGATAAGCATATGATGATGATGCCTCAACAGTAATAACAGTGTAACTGTATAGCAATTCTCCAGTCTAAAAAGAATTAAACTGTTATTTATAGTTTCACAATTTTTTTTATAATATAATTTTTAAAATTAAACTTGATACTTCAGACTTCCAAATATCAAAAAGCCCAGCCATAGTTAAAAGATTAGGTCCTGACCATCCTTTTTGTGCCCATTTGTTTTCTTCCTCAGTTGTCCAATTCCTTTCCTTCATATTGAATCCATTTGACTGAACAGAATAGATGAAATAAGGTTGTTTGCCTCCATTTGGCAATTTTTTCCATTCATAAAACCTGTAGATATTAAAGTTATAAGTTATATATATATATATATACACAAGGACTTTTTTTCAAGCTCCAATGGTCCATAAAAAAAAGAAAAGTGTAAATAACAAAATAAATTTATTACTAGAGTTAGGTACAAACATAGTTACTTTTCGAGATAATCACCATGAAGATTGAAGAATTTGTCATATCTGTGGACAAGCTTTTCCATCTCCTTGTCATAGAATGTTGCTGCCAATGACTTGAGATGGGTCCTAACATTTTTTTGAAGATTGTCATTAGTCTTGAACCTCTGCCTTCCTAGCCACTTTTCCTGTTCAGGAAAGAGGTGGAAGTCACTCTGCACTAAATCAGGGCAATATGTTGGGTGTTTAAAGATGATGAAGACTTCCACCCAGCTTAACTTTTTAATGTGTGAAGACTTCCACCTCTTTCCTGAATTGAAAATGTGGCTAGCAGGGCAGAAGTTTGAGACTAATGAACTAATGATGGTCTTCAAAACAACAATGTTAAAGCCATCTCAATTCACTGGCAGAAACATTCTATGACAAGGGGATGGAAAAGCTTTTCCACAGATATGACAAATGCCTCAATCTTCACGGTGTTATGTCGAAAAGTAACCATGTTTGTACCTAACTTTTGGTAACAAATTCATTTTGTTATTTACACTTGTCTTTTTTTTTATGGGCCATCAAAGCTTGAAAAAGAAACAGCCTATGTATATATATATATATATATGTGTGTGTGTATAATAATGATTAACGTAGCAAACTTTCATATAACATAAACTAATGAAAAATTCATATTAAATATATATAATGCAAAGTGTTATATTATATAAAAAATTCATGTGAAAATGAATTTTTCATATAACATAACACTTTGCATTTTTAAAAATTATGATAAAATGTTTTGGGCAGGCTGTAACATGAAAAGTTACATACATATTTAATAGAATATAGAGTATATGTAAATTATTAACAACAACAATAACAGTTTTTTGAACAAACTGTTTTAATTATGTATTATATTTGATTTATATAAATATATTGATAATTTCAGAGAATAATTATATTATTACAAAAATGAGATAATAGTGCATCTTGTAGAACATCCTAAAAGCTTAATTAAAATACATCACTGCTAATACAAATAATAAAGTAAATCATTACAACCAGAATGGTTTGGTTATTTCTTTTAACTAAACTAAAATTATTCAAGTTTATTTCATTCATATTACCAAAAATTGAGAACTGAAGACTGATTTTTAACAAAAAATATTACCACATTGCTTCGTTATTATATACATCATAGTTTTTAAATCAAATTTTAGGAGCTTTCTTTTTATGAGGGAAAAAGTTTCTAAATAACTAATTTAATAAAATTTTGTTAAGTAACAGTTAGAAAAATAATAAAAACGCCATAAAATAAGTAATGTTCAGCAACTTTATTTCATATTCTTCTTATTTACAATAACTTTTCATTTAATACTGCATCATAATGTTGTCTTCAATACATTTTAAATGTCAAAAAACAGTTTAAATTAAATACTTATTACCAATAAAGCTCATCTGAAGTAATAGAATCATTGAACAGTATTGCCATACATGTCTAATATTGGTGAATAATATTAATATTACAAGGTTTACTTGCAATGATTGCCGATTGTTGTTTGGAGTGTAAAAAACTAAATTTTCAGTCCAAACAATTTATAACTTAAAAATGAAATATTATTTTATCTTTTCTTCCATTGATAGAAACATTAGGTCAAATGAAGTTATCTAACACAGTGATTTTCAACCAGTGTGCCGTGAGCAGAACATAGGTGTACCATAAAAAGTTTTGAAGCTTATTAAATAAATTATTTTCAAAAGAAGCCCAAAAAACAATAAGTGTAAATGCCAAAATTAAAACTAATTATATGTGTTTTTCATTGTTATAATAAATAAATGTATCCATAATATAGTAAAAAATATATATATTCATAAGCAAAATTACATGTGCAAAACTCTGGGTTATTTCATTTTAAATTAAATTTTCTTTAAATCAAAAAATGTATCTATAATTGTCCATATTTAGTTCAATTTATTTTAACTTAGAAATACAGTAGAGCCTCGATAACCCGGCACTCCGGATAACTCGGCCATACCCTGGCAGGACAAAAAAATCCTTAGTTAATTAATTTTCATGATAAAGACAGCTTTATGCCTCATAAAGTATTTTTCTGAGGTCTGTCTTATCAGGTAAATTACTGTACAGTGTATTCATTAATTTTCATTTTCATGTAGTAAAGGCTCTATGCTCATGAAAGATAAAGGCTCATGAAAGATGTGCTTTTCCTTTGTTTAAATTAATTAAAGGTATTTGGGCAGTTTATTCTCTGTTGTATTCTCAAGTAAACAATACATACAAGTACAGTACAGTATTTTCTGAGGAAACACGCATACTTATCCTTTTTTAACCCCATTCCCGATAACCTGGCATTTTCACAAACTCGGCCACCCTTCGGTCCACATTAGGCCGAGTTTTCGAGGCTCTACTGTAATGGGACATTAAGCAGGTTTCTAAAGGCAATTATAATGCCACTTTTAAATGCAAATTAAGACTTAATATTAATTGCTTTTCTTATGTAAATGAAAATTATTAATTTAAATAACTGTTACTGTAACCTGCTGCTGTTTTAATAAACAACAATACTGTTTTATCTAATTCACAAAAAATATACACAAAAAGAATTAGGTTAACTGGCAAGTAATATGGTGATAGAATGTTTACAACAACTTTTAATCACATGATTTTTTCTGTGTAAATTTGTGTCACAGAAATTTAATTATTATGTGCTATGAGATAAAAAAAGGTTAAAAAACACTGTTCTAGTATATAATTATTGCAGTTATCATATAGTAATTTTTATAGTAAGCAGTATAATCATGTCATTCACCAGAAACATTTTCAGTTTACTTGATGCTATCTTCAACTATTGAAATTATAACAATTGCATATTCTAAAATGGAATACATTTTTGAAATTACTTAAAATATATAAAATTTAAATTGACAATTATTGATATAACATATGTAAATAAATTTGGATATTTTTAAAATCCAACATTATAGTAAATGTGTGCTTGTATACAGTATGCTAGTATACAGTAACTCTTCTCTAAACTTAACTATTCTTTAGTAAAAGGTAAAAAAATCTTTAAATTTCAACAATGTCTTCCAATTTCTAACAAAATACGTACTGTACATCATTTGAATTAACTCTCCTAACGCATTTAGATACAGATATATATTTGTTGTAATGATAAAAATAAATAATAATAGTACTTTAAATTATCTTTGATCTGTTCCACTTCACTTCAATTTCTTTATCCATTTTCCATTTTGCTAACAGGATAGATGGCTCCTTGTTTTTAGCAACTGAATAATAATGTTCTGTAACTCATGTCTCTAATGAGTAGTAATTAGAACTTCTATAATAAAAAAACTTCTTTATTGTCATTTCTTTTGAATAGCTTCAAAATATATACTCTGGTTTTTTTGTATATCCTTTAACTTATACTTATCAGATATGAGCATAGTCATGACAGAGATACCTAGTGTATAATAAGAAATTCTCTCCTTTTATAAATGGTCTAACTATAGCAGAAAAATATTTTCCTATAATAAATATGACTTTTGTATTATTGTTCTTACTATAGCCTAATATTTTAATAATACTAACTGATGGGTTATTAAAATGTGACTTAATTAAGCTCTCAATCACTTTGGGAAACCATGTAAAACCACTATTCTAATTCTATCCAATGTATAACCAATCCAGTACATCATCTATATGTATCCCAAACAAGTAATAGTGAAGATAGCTTCAAGAATGTTAAAAATGCTTTTAGTGAATATTTTCAGTTGCCTTAACCAAGCATATGTTTTGACAGTTTTTATAAATTCAGATAATAAATAAATAAATATTTCCGGATAATGTTTCAACAGAGTATAATACTAAATTTTATTTAATTTTATGGAAGAGAAACAAATTTAATTGTTTTTACTTCTTAGATTATCAGCACAAAACCTTTCTCACTAATTTCTAGCCTTATTAACTGGAGTACAAACGTTTTCGGCCTTCTTAATAGGCCTTCCAGTTAATAAGGCTAGAAATTAGTGAGAAAGGTTTTGTGCTGATAATCTTAGAAATAGTTCTAGCTACATATGCATAGTAG